CCCAGATCCGAAGGAGGCAGAGGATTAGTTCAACTAGAACTGTCCTACAAAACGACAACAATTGGTCTCCAAAGATACCTCGAAACTACAGAAAACGGGATGATGATATATGTCAAAGAACATAAAAGTAGTAAGCGTCTCTATTCCGTAATAAAAGAAGCCAACAAGTTCAAAATAGAGTTTCAAATGGGTGCAGAAATACAAGTAAAACAATACACCGACTGCAGCTGCAAAATACATAAAAAAGCAAAAACAAATGCAACCGACCAGATGCAGAAATAATGGCAAGATAAACAGCTTCATGGCCAATACTCTGCCCGTACCAAACAAGCTGACGTAGACAAAACCCGTACCCATCAGTGGCTACGTAATGCAGGGTTAAAAGCTGAAACTGAAGGTTTTATCCTTGCTGCACATTGCCAATACTTGTTAACTAGAAATTATCAAGCACATATACTAAAATATTGTATTAGCCCAAAATTCAGATTCTGTGATAAATATCCAGAAACAATTGATCATCTTGTATCAGGTTGCACGATATTGGCACCCACTGAATATAAAACCCGGCATGACAAATTGGGCCAATATCTGCACTGGAAAAATCTGCAACTTCTACGGGAAAGAAACAAAGAAATTGGTATGAACACCCTCCAGACCCGGTTACAATTTTATGGAATTACACAATACACAGAGAGAGAACAATGAAAGCTAACCGCCTAGACATCGTGATTAGACACCGCAAACTAAAAAAGTGCCTCCTTATTGATATGGTAGGCCCTGCAGACTGCAATATATCTTTGAAGATCTTCAAAAAGCTATCAAAATACAAGGACCATAAAATCAAAATCTCAAAAATGTGGCACATGGGAACATCAACAATCCCTGTTGTAGTTTGTAGATTGGGTGGAAAAGACAACAGTAGACTCATTGAAGGGATTCCTGGAAGCCCATGCTTTAAAGAAATACAAAAATTGTTCTCACGAGTACAGCCCACACTTTACGAAGGGCTTTATCTATATAAAATATGTTGGTGGATTTTTATATTTTTGTTAATTGGTCAGTGGAAAATATCATGATGCCATTTCTAACCTTAGATCTCTGGTCGGGACTCGGAAAGAAATATGTAGACACTAGAAATCAAAGGAAATAATAATAATAATAATAATAATAATAATAATAAACAGAATATCAGCCATAAACACTTTGGCTGTACCTGTTGTGTAATACAGTTTCAACATCGTTAATTGGACCATAACTGACATTAAGTGAATGGATGCCAAAGTAAAAAAAGCTTCTCACCGAAAGGCATTTACACTTAAGGGAACGTAATGAACTCGGTTGGGATTCGAACTCGAATTGCTTATTTCTTGATCTGAACCGCTAACCATTACATCACACGCTCATCACCTTACGCATGCGCAGAAATTAAACAGAAACAGGCGAGTAAATATGGAATTTGTTTAGATATTTCATTGTTATTATGAACCGCATCTAGCAGTACAAGTCAATTATCCAATCGATGAAGGGAGAAGATTTGCAGCGTCTGCTTTTAGCTTTTTTTCTTTCTCATTGTAAATCTTAAACAATTATATTCGGCCTTGATTTCTCTCTCTCTCTCACTCTTTTACACATACACACACACAGACATATATATATGTGTGTGTGTGTGTATGTGTGTGAATAAAGACAAAAGGAAAACTTATCTTAGTCGACGCGTTTCATCTTTTGATGAACTTTATCAAATCAAATGTAAGGATTTTATTTTATTACAAGTTTTTATAAAACAAAATAAAATTCACATATTGATACTCACAGAATAACACAGTATCAGGGATAGAGAGTATGTTAATATAAAGTGATGCACTATGGGTAAATTTAAAAGTGGACATTGAGGCCCACATCCAGCGGTACAGTTTTTTCATACTTAAACACAATCGTCAGGCCATATGCATTGCTTTTTGGCTGGACTATTTATATGTGCTGGACAGTGATGCATTATGGGTAAATATAAAATCTGACATTAAGCGCAACACCAAGCGGTGACAGTCTTTTCCACATTTAAAAGCTATCTTCAGAGCATGTGAATTGTGCTTTAGTTCGACTATTTATATATGCTGGACATTGATGCATTATGGGTAAATATAAAAGTGGACATTAAGCTTAACCCCCCCCAGCGTCGACAGAGTTTTTCAGACTTAAAACCAATCGTCAGCTAATGTGCATTGTGTTTTCGCTCGACTATTTATATATGCTGGAAAGTGATGCATTATGGGTAAATATAAAAGTGGACATTATGCTCAACACCCAGGGGCGAGAGACTTTTTCACACTTAAACACAATCGTCAGGCCATGTGCATTGTGTTTTGGCTGGACTATTTATATATGCTGGAAAGTGATGCGTTATGTGTAAATATAAAAGTGGACATGGAGCAGGAGTGTCTCCAATACGTGTTTATTCATAAAAAAAACTCTCAATATATTTCCAGGAATAGGTAGATATATTTGTTAAACTCATAATTACAGGACTGAATATGTAATATCTCCAGATGTATATCGATCCGAGTTACCTACAGGGAATGAATTTCAGCGAAAAATATTTATCATTATTTGCCCTATGTATATTTGGACTATTGACCTCATCTGTGTTGTTGTTGTTATCACACCGTTTCGGCTGTTCTGCTCTCCGGCCTTCCCCGGGTGTATGTCGATTTGGGCAACCTATAGGAAATGAATTTCTGGGATAAGGAGTTATCATTATTTACACTATTTATATTCGGTCTATTGTCTTCATCTTTGTTGTTGCTATCTCAACGTTTCAGCCTTTGTGTTCTCCAGCCTTCCTCAGGTGTATATTGAGCTGGGAAATCTGAACTGAACCCTTTATTTAATCTAGACTGTTCTGGTTCGACTGCTCATGTTTAATCTTATTTATTCCTTGACCGTTTCCACTGCCCGCCCCACTGCCCGAACTCACAATCACCAAATTCACGAACCAACGCATTAATCTTCTAGGCCATTCTCCCTTAGGACTATTTTCTGTAGTGTTCTTGGAGCCTTAAACCTAACCTATCTGCTGATTAGAGTTGCCGTTGCAACAACGAGAACAGATTAAATAAAGGTCTCCCGTTCAGAATTCCCTGTAATTACCCAGATCGATATACTCCTGTCTTCTCGGTCTAACATTCTCAGCTGATATGAAGTCGAAAGACAATATTGAAAGAATTGCGAAGAAAAAACTTACATAAACTTCCGGCTGTCAGTGGAGCTTTCAATACCTTAAATAAACATCTAACTCAGTGTTAAAAAATACATTTCTGTGTTATTTTAAACTAGAAGTATGTAATATTTCTTTCAAATGAGAATAATTAAACTTTAAATAAACTCGTATTAGTCAAATAAAATTTCAGCAAAATATTTATTTTTGAAAGTTTTTTTTTAATAAAGAGATTTACACTGTGATGACAGATGGCTAAAATGGCGCTCAAATCAGTGATTAAAAAAATTCTTCCAGTCAATTTAAATTAGTTTCGAAATACAGCGAAAATAATTTGCTTATTGGAAATATTAAATTTAATTTATTAGCTTGGAATTCAAGCTAAAATAAAAACTTCAAGATTTTCCATTCATTTTAAACCGTAGGTATCGTGTTTCTTTGGACGTACCATATATATATATATATATATATATATATATATATATATATATTATTATTCAGTACTATCGCCCGGTTTCGGACGGTCAATGACAGTCTAAATGAATATGAAAATAAAAAGGTGTATTTTCATATTTTTATTAAATAGAACAAGTAAAATTTGGAACGAGAAATTTGCAAACCAACAATGCGTCTCTTCTCTACCCAAATGTAAGAAATCAAATATCAAACAGTTGCGTGCATCGGCCTTCTCTGTCTTTGTATGCGCTTGCAAATCTTAGATATTAACAGTAGAATTGCGCCCAAGAACCCAAACTTTAAAATATGTGGCGCCACAGAACAATACTCGTCATCCCCTCCCTAAACCACTTCAAAATGGACTCCATCGGGCAAGAAGCAAACGCATTGGAAGAGGCAGGGGAAAATTTCCTCCAGAATACAGAAGTCATTTCAAGAGCAGCAAAAACAATGGCAGCTGTCGCCAAAATGAAAACCAGGAATCAAAGACCAGGCCGTTGTGCGCATCGACCTTCTCCGTCTTTCTTATACGCCTGTGAGTCTTGGACATTAAGAGCAGAATCCAAGCATGAGAAATGATATGTTACACAACCATTCTAGGCATCTCCTACGTAGACAGCCTCCTTCCATTATGGCGAAAAGAAAAACCTGATTGAAACCTCGTCCCGATATGGCACGGAGATTAATGTCGACAAAAACAAACTCACGACAGCCAATCAGATCGGTTCCAAGGTTGATTTTGTTTAGCGGCATATCAACATCTCTATGGGTTATTTAATGCTTAAATTTAAATATTTTGTACGCATATTTTGGGATGATAATGTTTTTAGTTATACAAAGTTTACTAATTAACCCATAGCTGGGGAAGGAGATGTGAATTCATAACTTTCTCGGGGGTATTTGCGCGTAATATAACGAAACCAAGTGGAAGGCAACAACCCATAGTATTCCCAAGCGGTCACCCATCTAAGTATTGATCAGGTACAACATGGCTTAACTTCGGTGATCGCACGAGAAGCGTTATTTCCACTTTAACGTATACTGGTAGTGAGAACGAAACTAATTGGAACTCAGATCTCCGATTAACAATTCCGCGTCATTATCCATTACACCACCCGCACATCCAAGTCAAAAGCACCTGCTATCCCCAAGGGGTCAACACTCTTATAGAATACACCATCTGGACATCCAAGTTTGCAAGAGCTCATATTCACAATGGGGTCACCCTTCTAGGTACAGACGAGGCTCGACATTGCTTAACTTCGGTGATAGTACGAAAAGTAGTATTTCAACGTGATATGGCCGTTATATATTAAACCATCCGCACCACCAGCACCAGGTATTCCCAAGCGGTCACCCATCCAGCTACTGACCAGGCTTGACCACGCTTAACTTCGGTGAGCGTACAAACAATGAGAGTGAAACTTTCAAGTAAGAATTAAGCGGTTAAAAACTTAAAGGAGTGAACCAATTCAAACATCTCATCTCGGTTGTTAGTGAAGAGGGTTCCATTTCAAGAGGAAGACAAAGAAGAGCAACTGACACAAAGCCAAAAAATATGTGGAAAGGCATGAACCTTTTGAACGAGATAGATGGCTGTACACTCTACAGGAAAGTAATATTTATTTTGTAAAGATACAAAAATGTGACACAAGGCCAAGAGGGGGGATAGGGGAAGGCTGGTCTTCAATCTGTTTTATCTTAAACTTAGCTAGCCACAATTACTGACCCAAACATTCCACAGTATTCCTTAAGCCAAGACAATACATTCTTACTTACCATTCTTACAGCCACCATAATACCCCAGAGTCTCTATGAAGTTCTAACTATTCCTCTTATGCACAATTTATCTGTGGGGGGGTATCAAAGATAAAAGCAATATTTATTTTGTTTTAATATAACAATGTGGCGCAAAGCCAAAAGGGGTGATAAGCAGAGCTTCAATATCTCTTATCTTAAACTTAAATTAAATAAATAGTATGATATTGCCAAACATATTCCTTACACCAAAACAACGCATTCTTACTTACCATTCTTACTACAGCCACCATAATACCTCAGTGTCTCTATGAAATCCTAACTCGTCTCAATATGTACAATTTTTGTCTCTGTGGAGAAGAGAATAAAAATAACAATTTAAAAAATCTGACCCTAATGTGTATTTACAACGTAATGTAATACACCCATACAGCTGTATTTCTCAACGTTTTTATGCAACGACACACATCGGAGCAAATGAAAATATCACGGCACACTTAGCAAAATGTTTAAATGGAACACATTTAATTGTTATGAAATGAAAACATAGATTAAAAAAAAAAAACACACGCAGATATGAACTTAGTTTATTTCAATGTCTCTATTCAACTATTTTTGCAGCTTATTTAGTGTGAAACCTGTGCCTGGTGTTTTTTCTCGTTTTCTTCAATGCTTAGTCGAATGTGCGATAAGCGGACCCTCATTTCTTTTCAGCAGACAATAGTCTTTCTCGCTACTTCATTGTGATGTTATTTAGGGTTGAGAAGCCTAATTCACATAAATAAAAAGCAGAAAATTGCAATAAAACTGATAAATCGTGGTACCTCTACTTTTTCGGCATAAATTTTCGATACCTAAAGTTTAAAATGACTTTTTAAAAATGAAGTAGAAAATTTTAATAAAACTGATAAAGCCTTTTTTAGCTAATGTGGGATATTCCTTTTGTATTGAAATCCAAAATGTATCAAAAGGTCTCGTCGAATGTTTTAGTTTGAGCCCTCGATCACTAAAAATGGTGGCCAATTCTTCTTCTTCTTCACATAACTGAAGTCTAATCATGGAAGGAACATTTATGAAGGGATTTCGAATCTAAATCACACTTTTGCGCCACACTTAAAAGGATCACGCGGCACACTAGGGTGAGACGGTTGAAAATCCCTACCCCCCAGGAATGTTCAGCCATCCTTTGACGGGTCTTGTTGGGTGTTCAGGCAAAATCCTCACCTAAAGAATATGTTAAGTGGTCGGGGTTAGTCGCCGATGAGCCGGTCAAGCGGCAGACAGTAGTCGTATACATGGTACCACTTGCAGTCGTAGAGAGATTTTCCTACGCCATCTGCTTTCAAGGTCTTTTCAATGCGAATAACAGAATTTTATAAACGCAATTTCTTAGAATTTTGTTTTTGGTTACCTTTGTTAACCAAAACTGTAAAGATTCTTATTAATTAACCCTGGGAGAATTTTACACCATTTTCAGAATGAAAGAAACGAATTTTCTTTAAGAACCACGATCTTTAGATTCACAAGTCAGAGAAAATTCCCATTTCTATGAAAAGAGCGAGGGCATGAATGTGTTAGTTAGCAAAACAATGTGTGGTTTGTTTTCAAATTTATTTTGATATAATCAGACATGTCATTCCGTTCCTAAACAAGGTTACTCGTGGAGCCGTCTCTTTTCTCGTCTATCCCGCGTTCTGTGTAATCTACCTATATACCTGACAAGTATATAGGTCGATAACACAAAACGGTATTATCTATCTCTCTCTCCTCTCTCCCTCTATCTCTCTCTCTCTCTCTCTCTATATATATATATATATATATATATATATATATATATAGGGTGTATCTAAAATAATTTTACAAATTTGGAAGTCGGGTTCCGCATACCAAAACCAGGTCAAAAGTCAAGAAAAACATTTGTCCGTAAAACCACCGCTTCTGAGTTATTAAATTAAAACAAAGTTTACGGTAGATGGTGCTGTGTTGACATGTAGACTAAGTTACATTTGTCATTCGTGTACATGTGTGGCTAGTTTGTCTTTAACGTTTAACGTGTGTATCAGTGAGTTAACTGAGAAGTTTTTCATTCAACAATGTCAGGATATTCATATCATGAACAGGCAGATAGGATTTTTACATACGGTTCTGAAAATGGTACTTTTTTTCCATCTCTTGACTTGGGAGTTCTTTTGTATTTTCATCCAGAATTTTCTAATTTCCATCATTTTTACCTGAGTTTACGCTCTGTTATGGACCGAATATATATATATATATATATATATATATATATATATATATATATATATATATAAAGAAGAGAGGAAGGTGCCATAAACGTTTTTTTTAGTTGTAATGTGGATTTATTTAGAAAAATATTATGCTTTGTTTTACATAATTACATAAATTATGTAAAACAAAAATTTACATAAATTATGTAAAACAAAGCATAATATTTTTTAAATAAAATCACATTACAACCAAAAAAACGTTTGCTTTTTCTTCTTTTTTAATATACATACTTTTTCTCGTTGGAACCACTACAACATATTTCTTTTATATATATATATATATATATATATATATATATATATATATATATATTAAGAAATATACATAATATCTTACATTCATTCAACAACCTGAGTTTCATGCCGAAGCAATTTTAATTGCTGAAATTATTGTATTTATTTATATCTAAATTTTTGTGTTGAAAGAGACGATGAGAAATCAAGGGGCACAACTCTATTCGTACACCTACCTATATTTAACCATTGGTTGTTATATATATATATATATATATATATATATATATATATATATATATATATATATATAATTGCTACGTTTGCTAGAGGTCTTGCCCTGTTTCTCGAATTGCATCAATGTTCTTGATATGGTAGCTCTTGAAAAACCAAACAGTTCAGCAACCTTAGTGATCGAGTCTCCTGCCATGCGAGCTCCAACAATTTGCTCTTTTTCCAACTCGGAGAGGTCACGCATTTAGCTTAAATTTTACTAAATTCTAAAAATAAATAAGACAAAGACAGTAAATTAGATAAATAAACATATTTACAATAGATATAACCTGCAATTACGAAGTTTTAGTTAAAGTTCTTAATATAATAGGTCTTTGAAATATAGGAGTGGATTTTGCAACTGTTCCAATTATTTCATGCAACTCCTGTATATATATATATATATATATATATATATATATATATATATATATATATATATCTATCTGTGTGTGTGTGTGTGTGTGTGTGTGTGTGTGTGTGTGAGAGAGAGAGAGAGAGAGAGAGAGAGAGATATCTATATAGAAATATTTAACCTGATGAACCAGGAAAATATATTTTCTAGGGAAATAAATTATAATCATGGAACCTTAAAGATGTCACTTTCCTAATTATTTAACACACACACACCCACCCACACACACACACACACACACACATATATATACATATATATATATATATATATATATATATGAGGTATCGATATAGAAATATTTATATATCAATGTGTAAAAGGCTTATTGTGATGCGCTTCGTCCTTAAGGACTTCATCGGACTAAATTTGTTATGTTGCCAACATAATAATTTAAGCACGACACATGTGTATGACAGAGGGGTCCTGGGAATTTTAAATTTATTTTCATCAAGCTAAATTCATTTAGATTCCTTTTCTTTCCATCATTTCTGTAATTAGGTATTCTACGCTGTGACATTAGAAAATCCGCCAGGAATGGTAAAATGTTGTAAGAGCCAGGTCGCCAATTTACTGTGGATGAACTTGTGATCAAGGCACTCGATAAACATTTACGGCGTAGTGAATTATTTTTCTCCTTTGATCAGAGTAGCATTTTTTATGTCAAAATTTTGGTCAATCTCGTTACGGTGAGTAACCAACGCATTTGATGTATTATTTTGTAAAATGTCCCTTTTGTGTTCATAGAATCTTTATTCAGATTCTTTGATGTTTCTCCTATGTATTTTTGTGAAAATTATTACAGGCGATGGAGTTAACTCTTCCTTCAGGTTTTAGCTTATTGTTTCTTTCTTTTACTGTTTTTGATGTAGTAGAACAACATTTACGTTGAGTTTAGATAGTTTTTTTTTATTGTACATGTGATAAAATTAGTAGACAGGATAATATATATATATATATATATATATATATATTGATTCATCGGGTTTCTCAGGAGGGGCCATTTTTTGGGAATATTTCATGGGACTTTTGTTATGGAATAACTAGAGTATTGGAGAAGTTTGAAAGTGTTTTCACTGTATTCATCCTCTTCGTGTAAATATGCAGTTCGGATCCCTACACGCAAGACGTTAGTGGCACGCTGGCGAGCCGCTGATGGCAACGACAGCGGTCCTCTGATATTGAGCACTTTATCCCATAAACATAGCACACCTTAAAGCTATATTTCTTCACCCCCTCATATATATATATATATATATATATATATATATATATATATTCAGTTGTATAGATATGAGTTTGTGACTCTGGGTTTCACGCTTTTGTGATCATCAGACAAACTTTTCTGATGATCGCAAAAGCGTGAAACATAGGGTCACAAACTCATATCCATCCAACATCAAATTTTAGCTCTATCACTGATATTGAAGACTTTCC